GCGTGGGGGACACCAAGCTGGGCAGCAGCTTGGCAGGGGAGGCCCTGGGGAACCTGGTGGACACCAAGCTGAGCAGCAGCCAGCACCGTGCCCTTGCCACAAAGGCCAGTGGCACCCTGGGCTGCATAGGTGGCAATGCTGCCAGCAGATCAGATCAAGGGAGGTGGATCTTCCCCTCTACTCAGCTCTGGCAAGGAGGCACCTGGAGTCCCATGTCCAGTTCTGGGCCCCTCTGTACCAGGGAGATATGGAGATACTGGAGAGAGCCCAACAAAGATGATGACAGGACTAGAGCCTCTCTCCTTTGAGGAAGGACTGAGGGAGCTGGGACTGGTCAGCCTGGAGAAGAGAAGGCTCCAAGCCATCTTCCCAAAGCATATGAATAACTGAAGAGAGGGTGTAAAGGGGATGGAGCAACTCTATTTTCAGTGGTGCCCAGTGAGAAGACAAGAGGCAGTGGGCACAAACTGGAACACAGAAGTTTCCTCTGACCATCAGGAAACACTTCTTTCCTGTGAGGGTGACAGAACACCCAAGGAGGTTGCCCAGAGAGGCTGCAGTCTCCATCCTTGGAGATACTCAAGTGCCACCTGGACGTTGCCCTGGGCAGCCTGCTCAAGGTGCTGCTGCTTGAGCAGGGGGTTTGGACTAGATGATCCAAGGCCCCTAACAACCTCCACCATTTCCTGATTCTGTGTGAAAATTCTCTTCTTCCCAAATTCCTTCCCCTCTGCTTTTTCTAAGTTTCAATTTGCAACAAGACCCCATCCTGTCCTTTGTAAACCATTTTTTTGTCTTCCCAATTTGAATAAGATCACTTTGTGCCCAAATCCAATCTGAAACACAGCCCATCCATCTTATTGTTTAAAAAACATACCCCTGCAGTGCCATGGCTCAGGCTGGACGTTGTCATCAAGATCATGGCCTCCAGGTGCTGCTGCTTGGTCTCTCGCAGGGCTTCACAGAAGGCTGAGAAGGCACTAGGGCCTCTCTTGGGCAGCAAATTGAGGAATTCCACATTCTGGCAGAAGCTCCCAGGCTTGGCCTAGATCCAGAGAAAAAAATAAAACCCACACCCAAGGTCACATCCCAACACAATTCACTTTCAGTGAACCCTCAGAACAACTACACTTCTTCTACTTCATGCAACTGTGTCACCACTCTGCTGAGCTGTCCTGGGCCATCCTCACAGCTTCCCCTGCCAGCTCATGGGAGAGCACAGGAGAACACAGCAAAAAAACCACACAAAGTCGTACGCCCTCTTCCCTCCAGATTGCTACTTCTAGATCCTGCTGGAATAGTATCTGTTAATAGTATCTATTCCCTTCACTGAATACACAAAGTCCAGAACATTCTTCCACGAGTGCCAAGTAGTTTATGGTCTCATGCACAAGTATGGAAATCCCTCAGAAAGCATTAAGCAAAAACTTATCACAAGTAGCCAATTCTGCAAAGGTACTACATACATGCAGGCTGCAAGTTAGACCAACAAAGCAATATATAGTGTATCTGAGAAAAAGCAACAGTCAGAAATTAAACCTGTGTATCTGTAAAACACTGTCAAGAAGTTCTAATTGTTAGAATATTACCAGGGCATTTGCCATCAAGTGATATAATTTATAAAATAATAGGCTTCCCTGTGACATCTGAAACACACCAAAATGTCTTGTACTAAAATATTGGTTACCAAACGTAAATTTTATCAATTCCATTGAATTAATCCTGTATTTTCTGAAGTGCCATTTAGATCCAAGATCTCCTACTCTGATGGATTCCTTGGCAGAAATGGTTGGTGAGTTCCTCAGAATCAAGGCCTAATGCTGCAGTTCCAGTTACAGGAGAACTGGAAAAAAAGCCTCAAGTCAAACGTGCAAATCCTCTGCTACAGAAGATTTCACATGATCCCATTTCCTTCATAAAATTTTGTTTTGCCTTCTGTCTCATCACATTGTCTGGAAGGATACTGCAAAATCTCACGAGCTGAGATACAGATGATTTAACAGGTAAAGCCAAAGCTGTGCACACAAGTAAAGCACAGCGAGGACTTCATGCACTGCCTCCCAGGGGCAGGCAGATGCTGAGGCACCTCCAGCACAGCAGAGGTCTGTCTAGCTCTGGGGAAGACAAACGCCACAAGTCCAAGCACCTCCCTTTTCCCCCAGCTTTTATTGCTAAGCAAGACGTCCTCTGGTCTGGGATACCCCTTTGATCACCTGTGGCCAGCTGGCCCACCCGTGTCCCCCCAGCCAGTCTCTGCGGGAGCGGTGAGAGAAGCAAGAGCTTCCTGCACCCAGTGACAGCAAACACTCAGCACCAGCTAAAACACCCGTGCTTCCAGCTCAGACCCAAAGCACAGCCCCGGCCAGGCTGCCATGAAAAATTAACTGCACCCCAGCCAAAACCAGTAAAATCAGTTCCTGATCCATCCTCGGACTTCCACTGTCTTCTCTGTCCTTGACCTCTCCCAGCACGGACCGGAGCTATCTCAGGCTGCCTGTGCCTCCCACAACGCAGCACGAGCATCTCTGGCAGGCCCCACGAGGAATTTCACATTGTCTTCGGCAGACAGGGAGTCAAAATTGATCAGGAATTTATTTCCTCATTGCTTTCAAGCAGCTGGGGAGTCTCATACCTCAGATAAGTTCAGACCTTCTGCACTTGTAGCCAGCACAGAGCTCAGAATGCTGCTTTTCTGCATCCGTGCCTATGGTACCATCAACCATCCCAAAGAGCACTAACCTTACTAAGGGACTAAAAAGTCGCTCAGACTTCAGTCCGA